TGGCTGTGGGTGAATCTCTGGTTCTGCTGCTTTTGCTGCTGCTGCAGTCTGCAGGTGCAGAGGATCCTGTGGCTGAACCTTTGCTTCAGGTACTTCTGCTGCAGCCTGTTGCTGTGGCTGAACTTCTGGTGGTGGTGCCACTGCTGTTGTTGGTTCCTCCTTCGCCTTCTCCCCCTTGGAATTGGACTCTTTGTCGTCTGCCGGTGAGAGTCCAGCTTCCCCCTTTGGTTTCTGCTCCGGTGCCACCTCCGCCATCCCCACGGTCTCCGCCTTCGCCATCTCCAGTTCAACTGTGTTTGGTGCCTGCTGCTGCATTTGCTGTAAAGCTTCCGGCTCACTTGGCTTGGCCTCGGCCTGGGCCTGCTGCTGATGTTCTGCCAATGTTGCTGCATCTCGGCTTTGTGGGTGTTCCAGAAGTTCCGGTTCCGGTAGTTCCGGTTCCAGTTCCGGTGCCATTGCCTCATCAGGCAGCTCCAGTGAATCTGCTTGTGTTTGTCTTGTTGCTTCATCTTCAATTGTGGGACTAGTCATGGCTGGTGCTGGCGCTTCCGCTTCCGCTGCTGTAGCATTAGTTTCAAACTGCAGGTCCTTCATGAGGAGCCACACTTTGAAGCCTTTGAGATCTTCACATTCATCTCCCTCAGGATCTGCGAAGTGCCAGTCCTCTTCACTAAAGCATTCTTTTGCCCTGACATACGCCTCATGTTCCTTGAGATGAATGTGTTTTTTGGCTACTTCCAGTTGTCGACAGAACTCCTCATCGGGCATTGACTTGAACTCGTTCTCAACCCGATCAACCAATTGCTGCAGCCATTTGCCCTGCTCAAGGCTGAGTTCTTTGCCCTCCTTGTACTGCTGAAGTGGTGAAAGCGGTGCTGCTGTTGTTGCTGCTTCGTCTTCTGCTGCCGCTGCTTCATTGCTGAAATCTAAGCTGCGTTTGACAGTGACAGTGTTAGTTTGGCCAGAGTCAGAGTTCCCCTGACTCTGATTCATACCAGCTGCATTCACACCAGCTGAGGCTGGGATGCCGCGGCACCATTCATCCTGCCAAGCTAGGGATCACAACACTCAACACAGTTCACTACAAAAACTTTGAATTGAATTAATGAACTATGAATAAGCTTTCATCAGGTGCACAGTGCACAGTGCACAGTGACACAGACACAGCTTGCTACAAAATGAATTTGAATTATCTATGTGAATATACTTTCATCAGGTGCACCAGTGCACCCTAGTGCACAGTGTGCACAGTGCACAGTGCACAGTTATTAAAGATCAGGGTAGTCCACGTCCACGTCCACAGTAACAGTAAGAGGTCTTTCTGAGGTCTACTTGTCCCAGTGTCCGAGTCCGAGTCCCCCAAGTTTTGGCCGAGAAGCAATCTGGTGACGGCGCATCTGCAAGGTTTCTTGCAGCGGCTGTAGCATGGAAATCATACCATCAGCAAGCGAGGACCTGAACTGGCTTCTGACTGTGGTAGCGGCCACAAACGGTGCCAGCTCTAGTGTTTGGCAACTGGGTCACAAGTCACAAGACTCTAAGACCACACAGTCCGCAGTCCATAGTGTGGAGTCCAGCAACACGAACACCGTTTTAACAAGTGCTCAGTAAAGTTCAATGACCCAGTCTCCAGTCCCCAGTGTTCAATTCCATTTTACATTTTACTGACCAATTCCAGGCCGGCGCCGGCGCCGCTAATATTAGCTGAGTTGCCGCTGATTTTGAGATTTGACAAGCTCCAACTTGGCCAACGTCGTTTCATCAACCAGTGTCAAGGGCACCCGCACTGCCACGGCATTTGCAGCCAAGCACTTCTCTATGATGATCACACTGCTGGGCACATACAAGGCATCACCGGGAGTCATATATATGTGATCTTCAAAGACGGTGGGACGCCATATTCAGCAGCACTGCTTTCAGCAAGATCAGTAAGTGTCACTGCCATTTGTGCATTAAACCCCTCAAAGAACCGCACCGCGTCGGTCAGAACAATATCTGTGTTCTTCGCTGCGGCGGCGGCCTCAACCTCTACCTTGTCTCCAAGCGGAGTCAGCTCATGGTCCTTCAACCTTAGTTCACCCAAACAGGAGTCAGGAGTCCGGGCCCCGGGCTACTGCTACTCTATACTATACTACTGACTCACTCACTCACTCTGACTGACTCTACTACAACTTCTGTTTGCTTGAGAGGGGCATTTGCACAGATTGGAAACCCTCTTCGATGTCCAGTGTTGCACATAGCCTTGAGCCTTCCACCTGATAGAGAATGAAGGGCATTCCACCAGAGCAAAGCGACGTAGAGAGTTGTCCACGCAAAGCAGCTGCCAAAGACAAGCCACTGACCCTCATTTTTGCTCTCTTGACATCATCGTCCTTTGGATTGTCGCCCAATGCTTTCACCATCCTGAGGAAAATGGACACCATGAATGAATTCTGAATTGAATTGTGTTGTGAATTTGAATCCCGGTAAAATTGGCCTTTGAACAAACAGTGGACCATATCCACAAGTCGTATGTCATACTGTCATACATGTCCTTAAATCCCGTGTTTCAATACCCCAGGCCCAGGCCCAGGCCGCCCCAGACCCCGCCCCGCCAAGCCTCCCCTCTCAACTCTCAACCGTCTCAACCCCCCTCTTTAGTTTGCAGTGGAGGTTCAAGGACTCAAGCTCTGCCCGGTCCAAGACTACCGGAAGCACTGCTTGAAGATCATCTGGCTGCTCTTTCTCGCTTGTCACGCCAAGCTGCGTATCAAGCCCAAGGACCAAGCCTGGTCCATCAATGAACTTGTTAAGCCTGTGGTGTCCGGCCTTGTACTGCTCTTCGCACTGTGTCTTGAAGGCACTGATGTCCTAAGAGTTGACAGGGAAATGCCCTGGGTCGGGTCAGGGCAAAGACACAAAGCAATAGGTTAATAATATGCTAAGATAGTCTGAGCCTCAGTCTCAGTCAGTCAGTCTCAGTAAATAGTTATTATGTGTATGTGGTGGTCAGTGGTGGTGAGGTGAGTATGTGAATGTTATTTCTATTGAAGTCTGAGTCTAAGTCTAAGTCAGTCAGTCAAAACAGTCAAAAGTGTAGTATTGTTGATTATTGTTGTTGTTGCTGCAGTACTAGTACCAGTCAGTACTTCAGTACCGTGCCGGACCAAATCCCGAATCAAATATTTAAAAAAAATAGAAAGTGTCCTGACAATCAATTGAGTTTCTGCCGTGAGTTTCTTTGCGTAAGAATTCACCGTCTCTTTGGAAATGCCCGGGTAGGAAGCAAACATTTTGCGCAGTACACCCTTGTCTTTGATGAGTTGAA